TGTATTAATTCTTACAACTGCATGTGAATCTACAATAATCTCAAAAGAAAAAATTTAATTTAAAAAAGTTTCAATGTAACTTCCTTAAAAAACAATTTCTCTCTACCTCTTCTGCAACCTTACTATCTTTTATCCCAAACATATTCAGAAAAGTAACACTAATTATAAAACACTTCATACTTTATTGCAATTACTACTTTAACCATCTATTTCCACAAATCGTTGTGGCATCTAAACATACTAGCAATAGATATCACTGTAAGCAAGGATTTTCATATCTGTTTTTGCCATTAGATTACAAGCTTCTTGAGGGCAATGATGTATCTAGTTTATTTTTTATGTATCCAAAATTAAATGTTCTTAAAAAAACTAACCTTTCACTATGTGAAAATCCTATGTGCCTAGATCTAACATATGTCAAACCTGTGTTTTTTAAAAACCCTTTACTGAATAGCAAAATATAGAAAAAGGGCACATATTATTGAGTCTTACATAGGGGTCTCTGAAAGATACCATACTCTACAGGATTCAATAGGTGCCAACACTGTCTAATGCCCAAAGGATATGCCACTTTCTTTGCAAGAAGAGACACTAGAAAGATGGCACCATTTAAGAATCAAAGGCTCTCCACACTATGTCATGAAGACTACAGGCCATAATGACATAAACCCTCACTAAACACCAAGCCAACTCTAGAATATTATCAGGCTTCTCTAAGCATTTCATCCTGCCTGAGGTTCTCTTAAACTCAGTTCCTGACTCCAAAACTCTGGCAGCACCTAGAAAATCCCTCTGTCAATCTCAATATCCTTTCCACATGTAATAACAGCCCTGAGACCACTATTAAATTTAGAAATGTACAATATATAGAATGTATTATATGAAATATTTTTGAAGCCTAGCTTTATATTCTAAAATAATAAACATGTTATATAGACTGAAAGCAATGTTCTTAGGAAATATTTCCATATTGGGGTCCTCTTTTATCAAAGGCCCTTTCACCATGATGATTTTCATAGTACACGCATTACTCCCACAACAGTTTTCAAAATGCAAATTGGTTATTAAGCAGTAATAGTTGCAAATACAAAACAGCTACTTTATCTGAATGGTGTTATATTTTCTTTACCATAACAAAAAATGAAGCTGGTAACAAGAATATGTAAGAGTTCTGTGCTAATGACATTATGGGTAGTGACACGAATAAGAATGGCCATTAGTCTTAAGCAAAAGGTCATTATAATCGAATATGGATTTTCTCAATGATCTTTAAAAGTTTCATATATACATAACTGTTTTTAAAAAAACTTTTTTTAAATATTTTTTTTGAGACAGAAGCTCACTCTTTAGCCCAGGCTGGAATGCAGTGGTGCGATCATAGCTCACTGTAATCTCCAGCTCCTGTGTATAAACGATCTTCTGCCCTTGCCTCCCAATTAGCTCACTACAGATGTGTGCCACCATGCCCAGATAATTTTTTTGTTTTTTTGTAGAGATAGGGTCTCGCTATGTTACCCAGGCTGGTCTTGAACTCCTGGCCTTAAGCGATCTTCCTGCCTCAGCAATTCTCCTGCCTCAGCCTCCCAAAGTGCTGGGATTACACGCATGAGTTTTTGAGCCCAGCCTATTAAAATAATTTTGCATTGCAAATATAAAGCAGTATGGCCTGAACTTCTGTTTTCCCAGAAGAAAATTATTGTCATTATATTTTGTTTAGAACATAGTTACTGAAATCTAGCAAAAAAGACTGAGCAGTTCTTTATGGAAAAAAATAACATTAAAATTATCCACAGTTTTTATTTGTTTAGACATGTAAAATCATGCTATGGGTAAGAAAAATAACTTTAAAGTTCTTATAACAATCATATATTTACATAAACTATATTATATTACCTGCCATATTGTCTAATATATCTGAGCCCCAATCTCCTTGAAACACTGATGTTAAAATGTTGTCAAATAAATGAAGTTCCTTCGCACCAACAATTTTGTCACGAAATAAGCGCCGTGCTTCATATGCTACAATTTCTAATACATAATCTAGTGGATGGTTTGAGGATCCTAAAAAAGGCAAAATTTTCTTTAATTGTAATAAAACTCAAAGGATTTAAAAATGGTCTGTTTAATAAAATATTAGAAAGAAATAGAGAGTAGGAATCTACATACCATAATTTTGGCATCAGATAAATAGAAGAAAAGGAAAAAGAGTTAAAATTCATTTTGTTAATGAGTTGGTACATTTTTGTGATCACTTAAAGGCTACATTACACACTATCAAGTCTAGTTGCTTAATAAAAATATCAATTCCAAAAAGTATATTAAATACGTTTTGGCTACAAAGAATAATGATTTCTTTTTTCCCAAAATCAAGTTTTAATAGCGACAATCTTACAAAGTTTGAAAGAAGAAATATATTATTTTAATAGTAATATTTAAATTTAATAGTCATATAATTTTCAAAATATAATTACTGTTATAATACTCATTTAACATATCTATTACAAATAAAATATACATCATAATTGCGCGCACGCATACACAAAGATACACTAGCAAAACTTACCTCCTTCTAAATCATATCTGAATAAGCCAAGAACCCACTGGGTAAGAATGCAAGGAGTAAAGAAATAGTGACTATAATCATCAACTGTAAATTTGGCCCGCACCTAAAAAAGGAAATATAGTAAATAATCTTTCTACTTTCTTAAATTCATAAGCTATAAATTTTTCAGTCACCTTGGACTCAGAGGAATGCCCATTTTTACCTGTGAGTGGAACTGTATTTCAATATAACTGATATCATTAGCTATCCTTATATTATATTTTATGCACTTAAAAACACTATTCTAAGGAGGGTTCATAGGCTTCAACAGCAGGCCAAAGTCTGGCCAAAAAAAAAAAAAAAAAGGTTGAAAAGCCTTGCTAAAGAAATGAATTCAAGAAAAACTATCCTAACCTTTATAAAATGATGGTGGCAATTCCAGGTCTAGGTAAGAATCATTTTCTAATGGTGGGGACCACAGAGCTATCTTACGTTCAAGAAGTCACTGAACAAATCAAAGTGCTTCTCTCCTCAATATATAACCAATGAAGAGCCTATCCCTTCCTTTCTATGGACAGAGCCATTGCTCTAATTTTGATCTTGATTATTTAACATCTGAGTTAATTTTTTTAAAGTAAGTTGCTGCTTTTTAACTTAACTTGCCCACTTTTACTCCAGTACTACCAAAAGCATCTTCTGCAAGCACTTCCATAACTTGCAAATGCTATTCTCTTTATCTGGGAGGAAGACCTTTTTTCATCTTCAGCCGCTTTGTACATTTCTATTCATTTTCCAAAACTCAGATCAAATTTTGCCTCCTAAACAACTACCATATACAACAAAGTTATTTACCCCCTCCTCTGTGCTATCTCTGTAACTTGGACATACTATTATTACTACATTTATCACTCTACATTAACGGTTTATTTATATGTCTCAATCCTTCAGTAGACTGTGAACTTCCAGAGAGGAAACTCAGTCATTTGTGCATCCCTAGGACTACCACTGGTGAGAGAAGGTGCTCAATAAATGTCTTGTGCATCCTCAAAGCCTATTTTCAAGTATCTTCCCCACTTTATCAAGGAAGAATACTTCAGACATTTCCTCACAGGCAGCAGGAAAGAAATAAACATTAAAGACTACTCTCAGGTTTGAAGAAGCTTGGAAGACAGAAACTGATAGAAGTTAGGAGAAAGATCTGGTTTTGGAAATAGGATGAACTCCATTCTAAATATGCTAAATTTTAGCTGACAACTGACTAACTATCCACCACAAATCTATTCATTGAACAAATATTTATTGAGAGCCTATTAGAAACTGTGTCATGGATACAATAGTGCATAAGGCACACACAGCACTTGTCCTCACAGAGCTTATGCTCTAGTAGAAAAATCTAATAAACAACAGGAAAGTAAAGCCTGGGCATCAACACGGAAGTCACGATTAAAGGTAGTCCTTTGAGCTTGACACTAGAGGACATGAAAACTATAATATAAATGGATACATACCTGCTCATACACTTGTACCATAGATCCTGCCAAGAGATAAATTTTTGATGAAGAACCCCAAATAGAATGATTCTTCAGATTTTTATGTAGAACTGGTTCCAAATAGGCTCCATATATTGTTTGTAATTGCTCTCTTTCTGGGTAACTAAAAAAGGACAAAGAAGAAAGTTAAAATAAATCAATATTCTAAACTATTATTTCATTGTTAAGTTACAGCAGTGGTTTCCAAACTGTGCTGCTCTGAGACCTAGATACCTCTAAGGCTTACCACCCAAGGATAAGGCCAGGTTCAAGTTCCCTATTCTCACTTCAACCCAATTTGATCCCAAAGTATCTACTACCAAATGCTGGGGGTCCTAGAAGAGGACTCCAAAAAAATCTTTTAAAAACATTATCATTTAAAAACCACTGATCTTTAAAAAGGCCAAAAGGAAAATTTTACTTTAAAAAAAGCATTTTGAATTAAGTATAGCCTATACACAGGGCAGTAATCCATGTCAGAACTATAAAAGTAGAACCAATATAGCAAATAAAAATCAATCCATTTTTCCCAAACCAAAATTTATTTCAATACAGCATAAGTGATGGCAGGAACACTTCTGAAAGAAAAATGTTAATTGATGAGGTAAAATTAGCATGAAAGCATATAAACAAAGTTTTGTAATATTCAAATATTTGTAATATAATATTTGTAGGTTCAATATAAACAGAGGAGACAGTGCCATAACCAGAAAATTTGGCAGTCCCTGTAAAAATTATGGACCATGAGACAGATAGATGTATTAGGATTGATGCCATTAGCCATTAAAATGACCTGCCTCTCCCTTGTTCAGATTTAAATTATCTTTTTGGTTATCTTCATAAAATTTGATAATATTTTTGTTTTATGAATCACATAAAATATTTAAATCTAAAATTCAGATTCCTGATATTGACATTTCAGAACAGGGACTATACAAAACAGTTCTGTTTCTTTTTTTTTTTTTTAATTTGCTAATTAGCTTGCTTTAATCATTTTGTAATGTCAACATGTATCAAAACATCACATTGTATTCCATAAATATATACAATCATATATAATTGTGCAATTTAAAATAAATAAATGTTTGGTAGAATTCACTAGTGAACCCTTCTAGGCCTGGTGCTTTCTGTTTTGGAAGGCACGCCCTCTTCCTATTATCCAACCAAATGCTAATTTAAGTGCAGCCGTGAGGGCTGTGACTGATGTAATCAATTCCTAAAGCTTACATTAATAACAACCAAGGGTATTTCCTAAATGGGCATAATTCCATCCAGTGGGTAAGATATCAGTTTTTTGTTTTTCCTTTGCAAGGGCTGGGAAGTGATGAAAATAAATTAGTTCACCCCCCAAAGATATTGTTTAACCTCTAAAGCATAAAAAATCTATATAATATCTTATACAAATTAATCAGTGTTCTTACAAAAGTAATGCAGTTTTGGACTGATGACATTATGCTGTATTTGTGGTGAAGTACTAGGCACAAGAATATATGCAGCAATTAGGCATTTTCAGTCTACTCAGTCTCTAAGGTTATTTAATTCTTGGCATTATATAATATCTGACATGCATGTTGGTACTTAAGTACTGAATTGTGGAGAGTAAGAAGCAGTGTACTATAGTTACACGTTTTGTATCTAACAAATAATTGTTGTATTGAACAAATCTCTTCTCTGAACTGTGTGATTTGTTTTGCTGCTGGTCGCTTGTAGTAGATTCTTGATTTGGTTCTTCTTCCGTATTCACGCTTTGTCCAACTGCAGTCTCTAACATTTCTTCATCTTCTTCATCATCATGTAGTTCTTTTTAAATTAATTGTCTAGCTATAATGATTTAATATTCAGCCCTTCACTGCAGTGAAGCTTCCTTTTCATTTCAGATTTTCACTTTTTTTCCTCGTTCTCCAAGTGCGAGGTCGCTTTCGTCCTCTCCCCTGCTTTCTTGTTCCCGAACCCGTTGCTTTGGCTCCTAGCCGTCAGCAGGAGCTCATTTCTCAGCTAAGGCATGTGGGTCCTGGCTTCAGCGGTTTCTGAATCACTACGTGCACCTTCATCATCACCTTTCACACTATGGGGAGGAGCGCTTGGTTCATTTATCTTCATTAAACCACAGTCTTTGTCCGCTGGATGATACGCCGCCACGATGTTCATTTTATCCCACTTCTCGGACTTTTTTTTTTGCTGAGCTCCTCGTCAACACTCCCGGGCTGTTCTCCCTACGCCCTGGTAGAGGAGGTCATGGAGATCTGTTCTTCCTGGTCACTGCTGCGCGGGCGCTCGGCTGGCGGCTCAGGGTCGCTGCTTGGCACGGGGTCAGCGAGGAGAAGCGTCGGGCGCTCGCAGAGACCCGCCGGGCAGCTGCGGAGCCCGCGCGGGGTAAGGCGGACTTACCTCTCGTCTTGCCTCCCGTCTCGGAGACGGCTTCGGGCCAGTTCTATTTCTTTATGTATTTCAAATAAATAAGATGCTTTGATTAAAGCCTTTATCATACTAAATTATTACCTATATTTTGGGAAGGGAAGGAAAAAATTTGAGAGCTTAAGTTTGACCATTTTTACATTCTATGTTTTAAAGAAGTATCATTAACTGATACTTTCAGTAAAATGCAATTATATACGATGTCTCCTTAAATTAAAAAAAATTTTTAAACACTAAAATACATACTCTATAGCACAAAGACGAACAATAGAAGTAAATCTGGTAGTAAGCTTGTGTCTTCCCAGTCTTCCTCCAGCTGACATAGAAGCCACAATTTGAATATTTTCCAGACCAACCCATTCCAAATTTTCATCATAAAATCCTTGATATGTCAATACCTATTTAAAAACAAATATATTTCAAATGTTTTATACTTAAGATTTTCTAATAATGATAAAAGATATTTTTGCCTAAGTTTCAATTATTTCCAAACACAATCATCGTCTTCTACCTAACTCAAGAATTTAAGATTGAAATATATCTTAAATTCTTATACCATTAAAAAATACTGTTCAAATCTCTATGTTCTATTAATGTTAGCTAAATTATCCTAGTTGTTAAAATGGTTCTCTCTCCAATAAACACTATAATTCAGAGAAAATATAAATCTACTAGCAATATCAAAAAAAGTAAAATGTCAGGGTAAATATAAGGAAATTTTTTTCTATAAATATTTCATTATATTTTGCAGTTAAACAGTGAAGTTAAATTTAGACCTACATAAATAGGCATAATAAGCTCTAAGAATTTAAAGTTTCTATTAATAATAAGATGTAAATAACACAAAGGGAAAAAAATCTTCCACACTGACTGAAAATATATGATCTCAAATCCTTATATAGGCAAACAGGGAGACTAATGGGCTAACGCGGCCAGAGAAAAGGAATGACACTCAGTGCAACCGCTATCAGTAGAATGCATACTTTAAAAAATGAAGGAAAAATTCCCCGAACTCCAACATCATCCCAGCTTCTGTTTTCCTCCTTGTTTAAGCAATAAAGGACAGGCAATAGATGTAGAGTAAAGGCTGTTTCTATTCTCGCTGTCAAATATCATCTTGATGTAATACTAACTTTTAAAGGGAGGAAAATCAAAGAAGGTAGAACTGGAACAAGATTAAAATGCTTCAGGAGTTTAATTTCCATGACACATCCAGATAAAATTGTCCCTGAAGGAGGAAAGCAGATTTTCTATCTATGAGAAAAGTTAATGAAATTAAATTATTTCCAATTATATTAAAACACTTCAAGTGATAAGACTTACTTGTTGTAGGAAAGCCACCAAAGTACTGGTCCCCCATTTATCAAGCTTGGGTAGGTTGATATCTTTTAAGTACAAAACAAGTCTTTCACAGTCTTTTGGTCTGTACACACGACCAGTATTAGTACTGATCACCATGCAAGTCTGGCTCAGTTTCTGCAGGAGATGTCGAGAAGTAGTCTGCGCACTACAATGAACTGTAGCAATTTGAGTGGACCGGAGTTGGGAAAAGGCATACCTCAGCAGCATCCTGTGAAAAATGTATGACATCTGACTTTGATGAAAATGCAACCAACAAAATATATTTTCTATTCAATATAAAATTTCTATCTTATAAATATTTCAATTTGTAAAATATGTATGATGATGTTTAAGGGTAAAGTGGTAAACATGGATACAGTTTCCATAACTATCAAGGTATCTTTCTAACCTTTAGACGAGAAAAAAATAAATTCATATTTTAAGGCATTCTTAGGATGAGGTTTCAGCCAAAAAAAAAATCAAAGTTCTCAGAAGTAATCTTGTTTGATAAAGTAAATATAGAATATACCAACTGTTTCCTCATAGTTGAAGAAAAGATGTTAAGATTTTAACTTCTCTTAGTTAAAAAAAAAAAATTACCGTGATTTTACAGAATTGTTTAAATTACTACTCTCCCACTAGAAATGTGAAACTAATAATCCATGGCTCCTTTATTTCAAGAAACTATGCTCCATAGGCACTAAAACTAGGCCGAATTCCACTGAAATAAAAGCTATTTTTAAGAAGCGAATTTCAAGATTCAAATTTTATAACTAACACTAATAGTAATTTCTGAGTATATCTAAGTTATTCATTTTTTCTTATGATTATATGCACAGATTCTTTTGGGGAGTATCTTTTCAGATTGCT